CACACACACACAGACACACACACACACACACACACACCAGTGAACTCAGGACTTTGTTTGGCTGTAAGGAAACACTGTACTACTATGTTAACGTGTTTGATGCAACTTTATTCATGCTCTCAACAGACATGTTTGTTATAGGTTACAATACACAGCTGCTTCACATAAACTTTGCAAGTTGAAACCTTTGACAGAGTGACAGTAGACCTACATTCAGTGATTATTGTCAAATCCTTTTATTGCAGCTGTCTAAAATGAGTTCAGTTGTGGAGAGCTTTAATGAAGTGGAAAAAACTGTCTGATTTGTACACTGTGTGTCACATTAGAAATCACTGCTGCTACAAACATTCACACTCTTGTGTCTTGTGTTTGCAGGATCTGGTTCACTCTCAGGCTAAACAGGAAGCAGTCATGCTACATGAGAAACTACTGGAGCTGGAGAAACGTAGAGACGCCATGCTGGCGGAAGACGGGAACATGGGTTCTCCACAAGAGGAGCGAGAACACCTCTTTAAACAGGTCTCTATCCACCTTATTTTTCAACGCGGAAGTAAGCCGTTTTCTGTCAATGTGCGAGACTTCCGGTGCATCAACCACTGTAGGGAGATAAGGAGAAGAATAAAAAAGTGCAGTAAATGGTAAAACGGTTTGCACTACAAACCAGTGTGTTCATAATTAGGATAATACATTCAAATAATATGGTAAGACACACCAGTTTGAAATATCAAGCCGCAAAACGAGGTGTTTTGTACAGCTAAAAATAGCGGGTGAAACCGGAAGCCAGACACTTTAAATTTACAAATGGCCATGCCCTCTCTTACGGGAAAAATAAGATGGATATGATTTATTTATATTTTTGCATTGAAATATTTCAAGTGACTTTACTTCATGATTGTTCTTTTGCTGGTTTTAGGTGAAAGAAAACAACCAGGAAATAGCCAGCATGGAACGACAGTATGTATTTCTAAAACATATGAATGTATATGATGTATGTTCACTCACAGTTGGTTAGTAGATGCACATTATTACACTGAAAATGCCCATTTGTTGTTTGCCATTTTTGTATCAGTTTATCATATTTATTTGTGCATCTTATGATCGATACATAAAGAAACCCGTAATTAACATCCTGTTTTATGTAGGCTCTCCGAGATAGGTGAGAAAATTAGCCATCTCACTGAAGAGATTCGACAACTAGATGCTGACATGGAGGAACATCAAGGTGCTGTTTTCTATACGTTCATGTGATTGGGATGATCATAGTCTGTGCTGATTTAGAGAGAATGTAATGGTGAAGGGGAAACTAGTAGATGACACAAGCCTGATTCAAGCTCTGGCGCATTTGTTGCATCCAGTGCGGACATAATTACGGATTATAATGACTTATACTGTCTTTTTACGTATTTCGTTGCATATCGCGCCGCATAAACATAAAACCATGTCTGCATTTGTGATCGGAGAAACAACAAACAACAAGCGCTGCTCTACACTGCTCAAAACTCTCGTTTGAATCGTCAGTGGCAAATCCTTTACATATGAAAACATACTTACAGACTGTGAGTCAGAAGAGCCAATTTGGCTACTCCGGCTATTTGGCTACAAAATTAAAGGGCATTAAGGGCCAACTTTGGTTGGTTTGGACACCTGGGGCCGGTTGCATCAGCTGGAAGTACACCCGGTTGTAAGACTAGGCTGGACGTAAAATGCGCTTTAAGTCGTGTGTAGAATTTATACCCGTTGCACCCTCTCGGCGTAGTGCTACGTCTGAGACTAAATCTTACACCTAGTCAGAGGTTCGTGTAAAGTGAAAAGTCATGATTTGCTCGGACATTATTCGTTTTTAGGATTCATGTCTGTTAGTTAATTATTACTGCAGAGCTGTAATGTTTTTGGTCTTTTCGGGCAGGATTAGCGATATCCATCGCGAAGCTCGGTGTAGACTATAGCCTACCACACTGCAGACAGTAATTGAATACAAAATATATTTCTGTACAGCATGTGATAATTATGCAGTAAAATACTACATATGAACTGGGATTATTTAAAAAACTGAACCATTTGACATCTTGCTTGGAAGGACAGTGTAAATGCTTGAAAATATTTCATGTCTTTAATTCAATTCATTTATTGTAGTGTGCCTGCCGTCCAATAATCGCAATAATCATGTTTTGTGCTTTGTTACTTTTAATCAGAAATAAATTATCAGCTTTCAAATTCTGTAAATTTTATCACAAAATACAAACTATAAACGTGTTTTTTCAGCCACAGAAAGATGCCAGTAAAACACAAAATGTCACGTAAATTCACATTTACCTCAGGAAAGACATTAATTGTACATAAACTTTATATTTGATACTAAAAAAAATAACTCTAGAGAGAAGCATTGTATTACATTTATTATATTTTACTTAACCTTGATGAAATCTGTCATGGGAATGTGCAAGTACACTTCAATATAAAAACGCGGACTTGTTAGGAAATGTTTACTCAATGAAATCATGGCACGGTGGCTTCACTTGTTATGTCTTGAGCAATTCAGTTCTATAGGCCTATTAGTAGTTGGTGAACATCGTCTCAGCTATATCTATAACTGCGGGAGAATGTGTCGGCATGGATGCGCATTGTCTACGCCGGGCGTAGTTGCGCCTGATCGTAGTTTCAGTTGGTGCAACAGGTGTAAATATTTATCGTAAAGCTGGACGTTGTAAAGCCCAGCGTAGGGCTTAAACCCAGCTTTTTTACGTCTAGCTGGTGCAACCGGCCCCTGAGGTCTAAATAAATGCCCATGTGTTGATTATTTGATTGATGAGCTGATCATGTGTGTTCTTACAGCATATCTGAACTCATTTGAGGAGAATAAATCTCAGGAGCAGCAGCTGATCAGAGATGCACAGAGCAGCATCAAGGCGTTAATGGAGCACTCCAGCAAGGTACGGCACATCTGACCTAGACTGGATCAGAAGTTTTACACGCTTGAACGTAGCAGAGACTCAGATGTTGTGTTCATCCACTGTGTGTTTTTCTCTCCAGAACATCAATCATCTGCAGCAGCTGTCAGCAGTCACCACTCAAGAGCTCAGGTCCGTGCAGGAGGATCTGAGCTTCAAAGAGACGGAGATGCAGAAGTCTCAAAGCACAGCGAAAGGTCTTTCCTCAGGTTAGTCTCTCTCTGCTGTATCTGTCTGTGTGTGAGAAGCGGTTTGGCTCCAGCGCTGTCCATTGCTCATTGCATTTTGCATGTCTGTGTAAGTCTGGTGATCTACATGAGACAAACCCATTAACACAGAACGGCCTATTTGATGAACACAGTCAGATCAGACTGTGTGAAAATAACAGCATTAACCGCTAAAGATCCTCCTCTCTTTCTCTCTGTCATTTATTAAGGTGTGAGCTGCTGCCTAGAGAAGGGCCTTTTCCTTCTTTTGTATAAGACTTTCTCCTCTAATTCCCCAACGTGGTCTTATCTCCTCCGAGCCATTGAGAAACGTGCCACACAGCTTCCTCTGAGTGTCTCTCTTCCTAGCAGTCAGGCATTGTTCCTCTCTGTTTGTTGATCTTGAATTATTTCATTTTCACAGTCTGGCAGAAACACAGATTTTGAAGATGTTTGCTGTGTGTGTGTGTGTACTTGTTTATGCTACATTGTGAGGACCAAATGTCTCCACAAGGATAGTAAAACCTGAAATGTTTGATATTGTGGGGACCGGCCTGCAGTCCCCTTGAGGAAAAAAATATTAAAAATAGTAAATGATGTTTATCTGAAAGTGTAACAATGCAAACAGGTTTTCTGTAAGGGGTAGGTTTAGGGTTGGGTTAGGGGATAGAAAATATCGTTTGGGCAGTATAAAAGTAATAGAAGTCCATGGAAAGTCCCCACAATTCACAGAAACAAACGTGTGTGTGTGTGTGTGTGTTGATGGTCAGATTGGAGCGCTGGTGAAAGGACCCCTAGAGAAGGAAACAGTCCAGAATGCTCAGAAGTACTGACAGGGTTTTTTGACTGTTACATACACACACACACACACACACACACACACACACAAACAAACACA